TGAGGGGAGGCCTGAGCCCAGCAGTGGGACGTATATAGGCTGTAACTTTACTTTACTTTAGTCACATAGTCATATGTACACTTACTACTATATAAAATATAAAAAACAGTACTTCAGACGTGATGTTCATAAACAATCAGTTGGGCAGAATCCACCTTTATAGGCCGATGAAGAAAATATTTGTACTCGATTATAAGCTGCAACATTTATTTAATGATAATTTTCCACAGAAATATCTCAGGTTTTAAAAATAACTTTTCATTTTACTTATGATTATGAAGAGTATGGTCTTTTTTTAAAAATATCTCCGCTAGACATTGGGCTGTTTTATGCTGTTGTAGATGGAATAACATACGGCAATCTAATATAATATGTGTCATTATTGAATCCTTTTATTATTTTAATTTCATAAGTAATGACATATGTACTACATATTTACGTGGTAGGGCAACGTAGCAGCTGTATGGTAGTTGCAGAATTAATATGTTAGCTAAGCTATAAACGCCCACGCTTGCACCAAATTCTAATGTAAAATAACATTATAGCTAACATTATATTAGTTCCGCTGTGTTTCCTACGCTGAATGTGGAGAATCGAATAACCTTTTAACAGGTAGAAAGGCACACCGCACTGATGATATCGCATCTGAAATTTAATCAAAAATCAATGACAGATGCAAATGCAATAGACCACATCATTCACTTTGGAGTAATTATATACATTTAGTAATTACTCTGAGGCATTCACTTATAATCAGGTGAAATATGTGCTAGTTTATTGAAATTTAACTATCAAAATAAATTACGTATATATATATTTTCTTATATTGTATCTAAAATATTTTTAAAAACTAATTTATGTTTTACAAATAATGTTATTTGTGAATATTAGCAGTGCTATTACATACATTAAATACATAGACACTCACGCCTGTCACCCAGAGGGGTAGGCAGCGACTACGGCAATCCGTTTGGCACGCCTTTCTGAGACACCTCTCTCATCTCTTTTACAACCATATCCTATGTTATTACATTACTAATATTCTTTTTAACGGTTTTGGTAATCTTAAGATGCTTGTGTTAGGAGTGGTTCACGATAGCAGTCGGATGGCGGATTCAAACCCACAACTTTTTGAGTTTACGGTTCGCACTCTAACAATTTTTTAATGTAAACTACCAAAGCATGCAGCTATGTATTTTTCAGTTTATATTACACAAAAAGTTTATATAATAAAATATATATCAATTCATACAACACATATAAATTATATTTTTTATAAATTTCAAGAGAAATATCTAGTTAAGATTATAAACACTGCCATTTATCTCATATTTTTTTGCAGTTACTAGCTGTGTCTGCAACTTCGCGCGTAATTAGTACTGCTGTTATTTCAAGTTATGATTATTTATTTGTAAATTAAACTGTCGCGAAAACTTAGAAAGATAATAATCCAAATAAAACATTCAGCTAGTCGGCCAATCAGTCAAAAAAAAAACGAACGAACAAATAAACGTACCCGCAAACGAATTTTTTTTTCTGATAACTCGGAAACAATGATAAATAGATTTTTTTTAATATTTTGTATATAAAGTTCAATAGGTTCTCTAGGGTTCCCTTATCCTATTGTTATGAGTTTTGTAAAATTCTATAATAGGTATTATTCACAAATAGCATAATTTCGTTTTACGTACTTCCTACCACTATGCAGTTAAAACCCATTTTTTCAGCACAAACCATGTACTCTGGTTTTAACACTTTAAGATGACATATCAGGAAAATGAAAAAAAAAAACTAATTGCATTATTTTTAAACTTAAGTATTCGTACTAATTTTAAAGTTACAAAAATCGTTTAAGAAATTTTTCCTATATAAATATTAAATCACCCTGTAAAAAAGATTCTTAAAAACCTTATTTTACTATCTAAGGATTTAAATTTTCCAAAAATTATTTCTTAGTGCATGCCTACTTAATAAAAGAAAGTTTTGTCTCAATTTCACGCATCTACATCCAGTGGTTTGAGCTGTGGCCTTAATACAATATTTTTCATTCAAAATTTGCACCCTTGTTTTATAACCGTAAGATACAAATTTTATTATTTGATTATTTTAAAGCATCGAATATTTTTTTCACCCTACAAATTGATTAGTATCTACCCCCATCTCCCTCCCCCGGAAAGGGTTGTTTTAAGAAATACTAAAATATTTTATATCCATACAAAATTGCACAACCTCTGCACCTGCATCCTCTACTATTACAGGTTATTTGGAAATCGCAAAAATACGTATTCATTTATTTTTTAAATACGATATGCTCAGTAAGTATCGAGGCAATCGACCTGTAAAATATTTTTTAATTAAATAATAAAAAGTCTGGAAAATCCAAAAGTGCACGCCTCATGATCTCATTTTATTACATAAAAAGAAAAATATCTCTTCTTCTTTATTTGAGACAAAGGAAGAGATCCATGAGAATATTTTTTGTAGAAAAGTACCAGTTGTT